GTATCTTTTTTTTTTTTTTTTGTCTCTGATGTTTTGAGTTATATCCAGTAGAGAGAAATTAGGCTGACAAAATAATTGCACCAATATTTATACCTTCCAAATATCAATTTTATATGGAACAATTATATAGTCCTATTGCACCAATATTTATACCTTCCAAATACCAATTTTATATGAAACAATTATATAGTCCTAACAGGTAGCAGACCCCAGATGTTGACCGTGTGTGAAAATCTCACTCATTTCCAAGCTAGTAATACATGAGGTGCGCCACTCCTTGGGTATCGGGTGATAATGCCCTAAAAAGCCTTGGCTGTACTAATAAACAAGTAAATAAATAAAACTGCAACAACTTACCAGAGCTCTGAATATTTTTTTTTTTGTTGTTCCAGCAGAGAAGCTTTGTTGTGATGAAGTAGCAGGCAGGTATTTATTCCCTGTGTTTTACTGAACTCTAAAAGCCCATCCTGTGCCTTGGGCTGGCTCCTTTCTCTTAAACAGGGATCTTGGATCCAGGTGGTGTAGGACCTGCGGTGGAGCCTGGTGTTCCTCAGGTGCGGCACCCCAGCTTTTCTCACAGCCATAACCACCAGACGTCAGATGAGGTCCAGCACCTTTGTCCTGCAGCTGCTGGCCTGTATTCTTCCTTTGGGATTTGAAGATTTCCACATACAAAACTCAAATACTTTCTCCTTCGTTTCCCTCTGCCAAGGAAGAGGGCACTTTCATTTTCGTGATTTTGCAAGCACATAGCACTGTTCACACACAGCAATTTGCTGTCAGTGACATAAGCAAGGCCTCCCTTGGCTCCGGGCTGAATTAAGCTTAAATTTAAACTACTAAAAAAAAAAATCAAACCTTACCTTTTGAACAAAACTAGGGTGGCGTTCCTTTCTTCAGCCTTTAATCTTTAGGTGTCGGTACCAGGTTTGGGTGGAGCACTACAGAAAAGAGGATAGTCCATTCACCTAGGAAACGCTAAGCCTCCAGCACTTCGTCTTTAATAACCTCGGCTGAACTCTGTCACCTGCAGCCCCATATCGGCTGTTCTCGCTCCGAAGCCGTGGTGCCTTGCTGCAAAACGCTGCCACCAACTCCCTCTGTCTTGCGGCCAGTGCAAGTTCTCCATCTCCCGCAAAAACCAGGTCCTGTGTTCAGATGCCAGCCTTGTTTCCCAAACCATGAATCAACCCATGAACTCCATGAACTCGCCTTGTTGATCAGATGGGTCATTACTCCTCCAAGAATTTTCTTCTAAAATTAGGCTTCCTGACACCAAGCAGCTATGGGACAGTTTGTGGAAACGCCAAGGGCTGTTTCATACGGAATTGTGCGTTGTGTCTCGCTGTGAACTAACCCCTCGGCAGCAGCACGATCTACAAGCTCCACTTCATTTCTTACATCACAAGATGAGGAAACAGGAAAAACCATGTGAATGAAGTGGTTTCCAGTAACACACTGTCTGTAGAGCAGTTTTAAATTTAGTACAAACAATTGTAATTATGAAATGAACTTTCATGACAAAGTTTGTGGCAGTTCTGCATAAGGAGCAGTGATCTGGCTGGTAACGGAACAGAATCCAAACAGCCCTGGCGGTATCTTTTTTAATATTACTGGTTGTATAATTTTGCCTTGCATGCAGGGAAGTCCCCGTGCTAAAATAGTAAGAAACCAAATTTAAATTACCACATTTCTGATCTCAACACCTGCAAAGCACTGTACTTGAGATTCAGGGGAAAGCTGTGGTTGGTAGTTGATGTTTTTAATGCAGTCAGAGCGAGCTTTTGGCTTTACAGCTAGTAAGGGTGTTTGCCCATGGAGGGGCTGTCCCTGCACTGTTCACTGCTGACAGGCAGCCGGGAGAGCCCATGGTAGCTCTGCTGGTGGTCTGGGACTGTTGCTTCCCAGGGACACGGACGTCTCCACCCCCCGTTGAGCGTGGCTCTGGGCTCGCTCTGACGACCAGGCTCAGGGTAAGGTGTTGGCCTGGGGGGGACACCCCAGCACGGGCTCCTGGGGGGGGTGGAGCAGGAGGGGGTGTAGTGGAGGGGGTCAGGGATGGGGCTGAGGGCTGAAGCCCAGCCAGCCAGCTGCAGCTAGGCTCCTCCCGAGCGTCCCAGGGGGAGCAGGTCCTGGCTCTGCCTCCTTTCGGGGGACAGCCCAGCTCTGGCACCCGCTGTAATCGAGGGTGCCCTTGCTGGGGACAAAAGAGGTGCTCCGGGGTGCACCTTTGCCTACGGGCAGCACAGGATTGATACACACAGCCCTTGTGTCCCTTCTGCCCAGAGCTGGGGGCGGCGGAGGAGGCTGGTGTGCTGCCATTTTGGAGGGGCTTTTCTGCAGACCCCGGTGCTCTCCCAGTTGGAGGCAGGGGTCCATCTCCAGCCTAGCCTGGGGTTTCCCCATGCCAGGAGTCCCCCGTGGCCAGCATTCCCATGCATCCCTGTGCCCAGCCACAGCGCTGAGCAGAGCCGTGGCACTGAAGCGGGTTCAGGTCCTCAAGGGCCTTTTGGTGGCAGATTTTGGGGAAGCTGCAGGTGACTTAGAATCCTGTGTATAGTTCTGGTCCACACTGTACAAAAAAGATATAGATAGGCTGGGGGGGGGGGTCCAGAGCAGGGCCACCAAGATGATCAAAGAACTGGGAAGCCTCTTTTAGCTGTATGAGAGGTGGGTTTGTTCAGGCTGGAGAAAAAGAGGCTCAGAGGGGGTCTCATCACCACGTACCAGTACCTAAGGTGTAGCTATGAGGAAGATGGAGACCCTTTTTACAAGGAGTACCATGGAGAGGACAGGGGGGGAATGGACACAAGTTGCTCTTGAGGAGATTCCGATTGGACACGAGAGGGAAATTTTTCCCTGTGAGAACAGTTACCCATTGGAATAATCTCCCCAAGGGAGGGCTTGAGTCCATCACATTGGACGCTTTTAAGACTCAGCTGGACAGGGTGCTGGGCCGTCTTGTCTAGACTGTGCTCTTGCCTAGAAAGGTTGGGCCAGGTGGTCCTTGAGGTCCCTTCCAACCTGGGATTCTATGACTGAAAGAAATGGTGATGCAAGGGCAGGACAGTCTCCTGGCCATACGGAGGATGGTGCTGCCATCCCTGGGCTCGGGGAGCACCTTAGGTGCTTCATTCAGCCCATCCAGCTCTGCTTGAGAGGGTAAAGGCTCCTCTGGTTGCCATTGCCAAGGCACTTGCTCGTCCCTGACCCTCTGGGAAGGGGTTCTGCAGCAGCCTGTGCCACCTCGGGGCAGCATCAGTGGTCAGAGGGGCCACTTGGCTATCGCCTGGCTATTGGGGCAGCCAACCTTCGCTGTCCTCTGATTTCAGAGGTGCCTCCAGGCCATCCCCGAAGTCTCCCCACTGCCCACCTCCTTCCCAGCCCTGGAGCCACTGGAGGGGCCAGGCTGGAGACTCCCCATGGGAAATACCGACTCAATACAAACCACAGTGGGTAAACAATTACGGGTGCGATTGCAGCGGGACTTCCGCTTTCCCAGGGGCTTTAACAGTAAAGCGGAGGCAGAGGGGAGGAGAAGACGCCAAGACGCCCGGGGAGGCAGGAGCAGGGGCCGGAGCCGGACGCCACGGCTGGGAGCAGCGATGGCAGATGCCTTCATCCGGCACATTGAGCTGCTGGGCTACGAGAAAAGGTTTTTCCCCAGCCAGCACTATGTGAGTACGCAGTGACCTTCTGACAAGCCGAGCAGCGAGGACTGGCGAGGGTAAAAAGCCTGGCCAGCATATTTCTTTAGATAAATGTGATTGAGGGCCTAAGAGCATCCTTTTTTGGGGTGGTCATGGCAGCTGGCAGGAGCTAGAGGCAGCCAGAGGCTGAAGTGTCCTTGAACACACAAGATTTTGGGCACCTCCTTTGCAAGCCGTTGGTTACTCTGCAGGCTTGGAAAGGGCTTTTACCTCTGATTCCCACCTGTCTGCATGTTTCTGTCCCCTCTCCATCCCCACTGGGCTTCCCTAGTGCCCAGCTCGCTTGCTGCCTGGGCAGAGCTACTCGCATTGGGGTGGTGGAAGAAAAACACGCCATTTATCTGAAATGGAGCCATCTGTGAGGCTCCCCAGGAGCTTTAGCCTCAGCAGGGTGCGGGGTCCCGCTCGCCCGTAGGGCTGCATTGCCTCTGCTTTGCCCCTCAGGTCTACATGTTCCTGGTGAAGTGGAACGACCTCTCTGAAAAGCTCGTCTACCGCCGGTTTACAGAGATATACGAGTTCCACGTGAGTTGTCCCAGGGCGGGCACCAGCCCCTGGCCCAGTGCATGAGGGCTTGGGGGGGGAAGAAGCAGGAGGGTGAATTCCAGCTAAAATTGCCCCAAAACAAACCTGGGTCAAAAGAGGCTCCTGGGTCCCTCTGCTTCGATCTCCTTGCCCCTTGAAGTGGGGGGCCACCAGCTCTATGCTCCCCTGACAGGTTTCCTGGTGTGGAGGCATGGGGTCCAGCCAGTAAGTGCCAGCAGGCAGGGGCACGGGTGCAATGGGGGTCCCCCCAGTGCCACCCTCACAGCTGTATCTGGCTCCGCTCCACAGAAAGCGCTGAAGGAGATGTTCCCCATTGAATCCGGGGACATCAACATGGAGAACCGGATCATCCCACACTTGCCAGGTGAGGGGCAGGCGCCGGGGCTGGGGGCTGAAACAGAAAGTGCAGCTGGTTGGGAAATTCCCCGGTAGGGCTGAGTTCTGCCGGCTGCCTCCTGCACCGGTTCTTCGTGCGATTTCTGTTCCTGCCCATGGGGCTTGAAAGCAAAACACCAGAAAGGTCTGTCTGAGCAGCAGTTTCTCCTGACGCTCTCCAGATCCGCAAACCCCATCCTTCCTCCCTGGGGACGCTTCCCAGAGCATTGGCTGCAACCCCTGGCTGGTGCAAAGGGTCCGGCTTTGGGAAGCCTGAGCTGAGCTAGGCTGGGCTGAGCTGAGCCGAGCCCTCCTTCAGTGGCACCGTCACCGGGACCAGTTTTTACTGCCATTACGGCAACACAGATATTTTGTAAGAGGAAGCAATGCAATGTATCTTCAAAGACAGGGAATGATCTCCTGATCCAAACTGCTGACAGTTTGTCCCCAAGCACAGTGCATGTCAGCAAAATTCCCCCTTTTAAATTTCCTGCTTTAAAGGAAGCAGGGAGGAGCATGGGAAATAGCTGCAGGTTGTGGTCGACACCTCTCGAGGAGGAATAAACTTTCAGCACACAGCAGTGCGGGTGCCATGTCTGGGGGGTCCCCTCGGGGCTGGAATAACTCCACCATGCCAGGACCCTGCCTACGTGCTGCTGCCGTGACCGGGGCTGTTTGGAGCGTCCTCGTCTTGTTTGGGGAACTGAAAGCACTGGGGACAAGGCAGGCATCGGGCTGCTGCAGGGGTGCAGGGGTGCCACTGGCTGCACACGTGCACCCCGAGGTGGGGTTCAATGCTGCTGTGGGTTGGGGCTGCCAGAGGCATTTTGGAGCCCTGGGGTCATGAGTGGCTGGTGCAGGATGTGGGCCAGGGCCAGGGGGACGGAGGGATGTGCATGTCACCCCCAGCAACAGGCTGGTCCCCTGAGTCCCTCCTTGTCCCCCAGTGCAGTCACTGCATTTGTAGCGCAGCAGCTGGGCTTAGACTGAGCATGGATGTGGGAGTTACCCTGTAACTGAAATGGGGTCAAACAGGGCCTTTTCTGGGCTTCCATGAGCTCTGCAAGAGCCCACAGGCTGCAGGGGCTGAGTCCAGTTGCACGGTGCTCTCCCCCATGCTGCCCACAGCACCTGGGCTGGGTGCTGCGCCCTACTTGCCCCCCCGGCCACACTGCCGAAATGAGGAACCTGTGGCTGCAGCGCTTCTGCAAAACGGCTGCAGCCCTGCCATCAGCTTCTCCCCAGCTTATCTGGCACCACGCGTGGCCCCCCTCATGCCTGCTGCGGCCGGGGCCAGAGCGGGAAGGGAGGAGACCAGGTCACCCTCCTGCAGAGTTTACCGTACGAACACTACGCAGCCATGCAGCACCCTGGGGCCATATCCACTCATTTTCAGGGCGAAATTAATGATTCGGAGCAGCCTGCTTGGGAAATTCCTAAAAACCAAGGCACTCTGTCTGCTTTTTCCCCTCTCCTCCAGCCCCAAAGTGGTTTGATGGCCAGCGCTCAACCCAGAGCAGGCAGGGCACGCTGGCCGAGTACTGCCACGCACTGATCAACCTGCCCCACAAGATCTCCCGGTGCCCGCATGTGATCAGCTTCTTCAAGGTCCGTCCCAACGACACGAACCCTGTCACGGACAGCCAGTGAGTCCAGCCGCCCGCCGCTTCGGGGGAAATCCCGTGCACCCAGCGCTGGCAGCAGCCGGCAGGGAGGGCAGCACTGCCAGCAGTGAGGGGTGGTCGGCATTGAGCTGCCTTTGCTCTGACCTGTCTAGGATGAAGAAGCCCGAGGTCTTCCTCCTGCCAAAGGATGCCAAGAAAAACCTCACCGGTAAGAGGCCTGGGAGGGGCGCAAGCGTCCGCCTGAGTGGCAGCAAAGCCTGGCTGGGAGAGGGGCGGCCATCCCACGGCAGATGCCCTGCCAGAGAGCACGGTCTCTGTGCCAGAGCTGGAAGGAAACCACAGCCTGGGGGGGGAATGAGTCCCTGTCCTGTGATCCAGCTGGTTTGGGGCCAGAAGAGGCTGTCAGGCGCTTTGGGCTGTCCTGGGGCTGCTTTTGGCCTGGCTGAAATAGGGTAGGGGGCCGGGAGAGGGAACGCCTCTCACTTCTCCCTCGCAGATATCACGGGCCCCATTGTCCTGCAAACCTACCGAGCCATCGCTGACTATGAGAAGAGCTCCACCTCCGAGATGGCTATCAAAGCTGGGGACATGGTGGACATCGTGGAGAAGAGTGAGAATGGTATGTGCCCGTCCCTCCAGACAGCCCTCGCGTGCCAGCCCTCTCCTGGCCACCATTTCAGCAGGGACGGGGACTGCCCTTGCACCTTGTGTCCAAATGCAGCACGCCCTGGGAGTCGGTTACGCCAATGCATGGGTTAAGGCGTAGGCAGTTGTATGAGGGTCTCCTGATGGAGAAGATCAGAGCAAATGCAACCAGCAGCACTGAACCCCTCCTTGCTTCCTGCCCCCTTGGGACAAGTTTTATATTCCTACGGAGCCACATGACAGTTGGTTCTGGCTGGGGAGGGTGTGGGGCAATCCTAGAAACCCCTGCAACCTCCTCGCATGCCTCAGCCTCTGAGGTTTCCTGCCTGGGAGGAAACAGGATGAACTGACCAAGCTCCCTGGTTGCGACAAGTGAACAGTGGCCAGCCCTGGCACTGTCCCTTCCATCCAGGCCACATGGGTGCCTACGCCTACCCCAGCCGGGGACAGACCTAATGCTGGTCCCCCCGCGGTACCTGCCCTGGCACCCTCTGCAGCCCATGGCTGCTTTTGTTGCAGGCTGGTGGTTTTGCCAGTTGAAGAATAAACGGGGCTGGGTGCCAGCTGCCTATCTGGAGCCGATGGATGGTCCTGACGAGTCTGAAGAGCAGGAGCCCAACTATGAAGGTAAAATGTTGGGTTACCCAGGGTGCGCACCAGAGCACAGCCTGCCGCTGCTCCCTGCTGGGGTGGTTCATTGCACGGCCCCTGCTGGGCAGTCCACGCTGCAGCAGGACTGCTGGGCACAGAGATGTTGCTGTGGAAGCTGCCAGGAGGCATAATTCATCACCCTACTCTCAACATCAGGAGCTTCCCGTGCCCTGCAGCTCAGCATTAGGCGCTTGTTTTGGCTGATTGCAGAAGCACATCTTCATCCAGTGGCCGTCCTGAGCTGGCTGGGTGTGTGCTGAGTTGCTGGGGTAGCAAAGGAGCACAGTGCAGCATCTGAACCCAGGCGCAGGCTTTTGCTAGCGCTTGGTTTCTGCCCTGTCCTTATCAGCCCTCTGCATCGCCCACCATGCCAGCGGGGCCTTATCGCACGGAGCAGAGGGAGGATCCTGCAGACTCATGCTGATTGCTCTCCGGGCTTCGTCTTTGTGGTTTTCAGAACACTGCAACGGACTTTATTAGCACAACGCTTCCTTCTTCCTCGTTTAATCACACAAATGATAAACATGCTCTTCAGCAGCGATAGGTGTACTTCCACTGCTTGCACTCACCAGCTTGCTTTCTCCTGGAGAGGTGCTGGAGGGGCTGGGATGAGCCACAGGCACCGACAAAGCTGGGGGAAATCTGAATCCAAACTTGGAGACCTGAAGCACCCTGGGTCTTGCCTAAAATGTAGAGTAAATGCTCTGGTGCTTCCTCTCCTCAGCAGCTGGAGAGGATGAGCCCCATCCCTGGCATGTTAGCACACAACCTGTTGTCCCCATTTTATGTGTAGGTGAGCAGTACATTGTCCAGAAAAGCTACACAGCCGTGCAGGAGGACGAGCTGACCCTCAAGGAGGGTGACACCATCGAAGTCATCCACAAGCTCCTTGATGGCTGGTGGGTCATCAGGTGAGAGATGCCATAAAGAAATCAGGCAAGCGGGATTTGGGCAGAGGGAAGGGATGAACGAGTGGGTCCCCACACTGGGGCTGTGAAAGCCACAGACCCTTTGGTGCCACTGCCCAGCACTTCCCTTTGCAGGGCTACTTCTAGTAGCCTGTGGCTTTGCCAAATGTTAACGTTGCACTGGGGGCTTCAGAAATATCCAAGAAGGAGGCAGATGGAAAAAAATCCAATCTGTTATTTTGCCTCCAAGTATTCTGGCACATTTTGCATTGCCAAACCTCAGCTTCCATCCTGGCCCTGGCCTGCTCTGCAAACTCGGGCTTTCCCAAGGGGAACCCCAGCTGCGTTTGTGCTCTGGAGAGTCACAGATTGCACATTCGCAGCAGGACATGACACGGCTGCAAACCCTGGGATCTTCCAGCCCCAGCCTGTGCCTAGGCTCTGGGTGTTGGTGGGTGTGCTGGGCTGGAGGGGGAGAGGGGCTGGGGACCAGGGAGTGTTTCCTGAGCACGTGGTGGGGTATCTGGCAGGAGGCCCTGAGCGATGCTTCAGGAGCCCAGTGAAACCCCCAGGGGACATAATACAAGCTGGTGAGACCCTGAAAGCTGTGAGCCATTGCTCTGTCCACTACCTACTTGCTTTTGGGACTCAAGCCACACTTTCAGGGAGAGCCACAGGCACACAAGGTGGGGGGAGAGTTGAAGTCCCCATCCCTGCAAGCAACAGGATCAGAAATAGCCCACCCAGCACCAGGGGCGGGGAGGTGGTGGTCGCAGAGCCAAGACTGCATGTGATGTTGCTTTGTGTTGTGCTGCAGGAAGGATGAAACCACGGGTTATTACCCCTCCATGTACCTGCAGAAAGACGGGGAGGCGAACACCTCTGTGAAGAGTGAGCTGAGGAACCGGAGTGCTCCTCCACGAAGGTAGGAGAAGCCATGGGCGGGGGAGGGAGGAGGACTAAAGCTCTTCTTCGAGAGGGGTGAAACGAAACCAGACAGTGGTTTGTGGTATCCTTTGCTTGCCCTGGCAATAAGGAACTGCCCAGGAGAGATGTGAGCAGGGCAAAGATAAACCAGGAGGCAGATCCTGCAGGGCTGCAGCAAAAATAGCTCTGTGCTCCCTGACCTCCCCCGGCTGAGAGGCACTCCAGCATTTCTGATGCAGGGCTGCATGGTCCTTGCTTCCAGCAGGTCCTCCAGCCAGGTGTGTTTCTCCTTGTCCTTCTGCAAAGTTTCTTTTCTGCGCTAATCTTGTTTAATTTTCACATTGGCCTTTTTCTTATTTCCTAAGTGCATCCGCTGCATCTTTGAGAAGCGAGGGGAGATTTGACTAATCAGAGCTGCCAAATGGCCTAATCTGATGGGGGGATTTGAGCTAATGGAAGGGATTTTATTTTGATTAAAAAGATAAAAAGCAATAATAACTCATTAATTCCGATGCAAAGAAACCTGCTAGGAAGGGCAGAGTTTGCCGCTATCTTTTCTTCCCTACAAGAAAACACAGCAGCCTTGCTATAAAATCTCTCAAAATCCAGCTCTGCTGGAGCACAGATTGAGTGTGAGACAGTGTAAAACGGCCCAAATCCACCTGTCTGAGCGCGGTGACACCTGCTGGTACCCTTGGGGGAGGTGAGGTGGCCTGTTTAAAGGACAGTGACTTGCCACACCATGGTGAATGCTGTCCCCAGGCTGCACCCTTGCAAAGGTGGTGACCTGCTGTTGTGAGCAAGAGCTTTGCTTGGAGATATGTGCTCAAGCCAGGGAGAGGCCGGAGGCGGAGGGGCAGAGCAAGGGGCCATCGCCTCGAGCAGGGCAGGATTATGCCATGGGATGGATGTCAGGAGCCACATTGCTCATGCCCTGGTAGTGAAGACAAAGCGGTGGCCTCCCTCTGCCTGCCTGGGGACGGTCCCCGCCTCTGGGGATTCCCCCGTGGCAGCATGCGCTGCACAGCCCCAGGCTGCTTGGCCTTTCACTTCTCTCAGTAGTTTCTCTGCTGCGGGTTCAACACCCCACATCCAGGTGCACGCTGGACACGTAACCCCACGCTGTTCCCCTGGCCTGGGGATGGTCCCTTGGGTGTTGGGGAGCCATGCCAAACACCACACCAGGGATCTCACTGTTGCAGCCAGTAGAGATGCTGTATGTCCATCCATCCAAGAGCTGTAAATCACTTCCAGGGCTTTCTTGAACTCTGTTGGATAAACCTCATGCCCATCTCATCCTTCCAGCCTTACGCCCAATCTACCTCACCATCCCCATCATTTCAGGCTTGTGCTCAGGCTTTGCCCTTTGGTATTTGCTTCCAAAACACTGGTCCCAGCTGCCTTCTAACACGCTGTACATCACATCTCACCTATGGCTGCCCTCGAGGGCTGGCATCCACCTCCTGCCTTCCACTGGGCAAAACTGCAAAGCAGATTTTGGGGTTTGGGTGAGGCAGAGGAGGAAGCACGGGGTCCGGCTGCAGCAGGTCCGTGAGAGGCAGGGCTGGGGAAATCCTCAGAGAGAAAGTGCAAGGCATCAGAGCTGCCGGCACGGAAATAGAAAGTTTTGTTTCTGACTCACTGCAGATCCACCATCCGAAATGTGAAGAGCATCCACAAGCAGACGCGGAAGCAGATCAGCCAGGAGACCTACAGGAGGAACAGCAAGAAGTACATCCAGAGCCGGAGAAACACAAAGGAAAATTTCCTGAACAAGGCCAATGTCATCAGTAAGTCTCAGCAGAGCCTTTGCCCTGGACACGGGCTGAAGTCCTGCAGGCATGGCCCATGCCCTCCAACGCTACTTGCTGGAGTAGGACAGCACATGGAGGTCACACCTTGCCTGTCCAACCTTCTCCTATGGGGAAAGCACATGCCAGGAGATGTTTCTTTTCAATGAGGTTTCTTACCTCTGGTTGTAGGTCTGACAGAGGAGGAGCAGAATACGCTCCTGGTGGGAGGTCAGCCCACATTTAGGACTTGTGATCTCCTCCGTGCACCAAACCTCGCCTGCGCTGCTGCTGCCATTATCGTTATCATGTATGTTAGCTGTCAGCAAAGCACCTACAGGGAGGTGCTGCATAAAGGTGGAGGCTGCTATTGAGGTAGACACTATAGATCTGATAATCCAGGGGATCCTGGGGATCCATGAACTTCCCAAGGGAGAGCAGCTCCTTGCATGGACCAAGAGCAGAGCTCCCAGCCAGGAACCGGTGGGTTTATGCCACCAGCCCGGCCTCTGGAAAGACCATCACGCATGGCTGAGACAGGAGGAGAGGCAGGAGGTTTGGTGGCCATTACATAAGAAGCTTTTGAATGTTCACATGAAGGTGTTGGGTGGTGGAGAGCTCTGACCCATCTGTACATCTACTTTACCCACAGGTGAGAAAAACGAGCAAGAAGAGAACAAGCCCAAGGCTCAACCTTGTGAAGCCTCAGCCCCCCCAGCCTTCATCTCCACCAGCTCCTGCGCAGCTGGGGCTCAGAGCCAGACTGGGGGATCCAGGTGGCCCTGACATCCGCCACAGGCCCCGGGGAGCTGACGGATGGATCAGTGCAGCCCAGTGCCCGTCTTCATCCTCCGGCATGGCGAGCCCAAGGTGTCCCAATGACACCATAAGCAGGGACCCAGCCCTGCTCCGCCAGCTCCTGGTGGCTTGAGGCCTCTGTAGGTACTGGAGACCCCTCGCCACTAGACCCCCTTTTATCCCCTGTTTGTATTTTGAATGATTTTGTGGTTTTCACCAATAAAAGAGAGACTCTTTATAGACGTATTTCAATGTCAGCCTGGACGGCTGGTCAGCACAGCCACTGGGGCGCAGCCCAGCGACACGGTGGCAGGAAAGGCGTTTCCCCCCGCCACGTCCAGTGGGGGATTGGGCAAGGGTCTCTTGTGAAAGATGCCATCAGGGAGGAAATTTGGTTGTGGGGATGAATGATGGCAGCTTCCTCCTGGAAGGCGGCTGCTTCACTCCCTCTGGTGGAAAGCAACGGCTGGGGTGTGGGGATACGGTGTCTGCTGGGTGGGGTAGGAGCCACGAGGCAAGGTGGTGGCCAGGTGCGAGGGGCGCAGGGCGGGTGGCCCAGGGCTTGTGGGGCTGGTGGGCCATGAGGGCTGAGCAGCTTCCCAAGGCTGCAGACGCTGGTCCTTTCTGCCACCTCGTGGAGGGCCGCCATGTTGGGAGGTCAGTAGCCACCTCCAGGACAGGGCTGGTCTTCAGCAGGGAGCACAGGGTGAGGGCTGCGTTTGGGTGCCACCACAGCCAGCCCCGCCACGCCAGGAGGGTTTGGAATTGGGTCTGGGTCTGGGTCTGGGTCTAGGTTTGGGGCTGGGTTTGGATTTGGGGCTGGGTTTGCATCTGGGTCTGGATCTAGTTCTGAATATGGGACTAGGTTTGGGTCTAGGTCCAGGTTAGGGTATGGGTTTGGGTCTAGAACTAGGTCTGTGTCTGGGTCCAGGTTAGGATCTGATTTGGGGTTTGGCCATGGGTCTGGGACCAGGTTTGGGTCAGGGTCTGGGTGTGGCCCTGGCTCTGGGTCTGGGTTTGGATTTGGGTCTGGGTTTGGGTCTATTTTTGCATCTAGGACTAATTTTGGGTCTGGTTTTGGATTGGGGTCTTCCCTGGCTCCCTGGGACTAGGTTTAGATTTAGATCTACTGGTTGACAGCTGGCTGAATATGAGCCAGCAGTGTGCCCAGGTGGCCAAGAGAGCCAATGGCATCCTGGCTTGTATCAGGAATAGTGTGGCCAGCAGGAGTAGGGAAGTGATCGTCCCCCACTTGGTGCTGTTGAGGCTGTACCTCGAATACTGTGTTCAGTTTTGGGCCCCTCACTACAAGAAAGGTGTTGAATTGCTGGAGCATGTCCAGAGGAGAGCCACAAAGCTGGGGAGGGGTCTGGAGCACAAGGCTTATGTGGAGCAGCTGAGGGAACTGGGGGTGTTTAGTCTGGAGAAGAGAAGGCTGAGGGTAGACCTGATCGCCCTCTACAACTGCCTGACAGGAGGAGGGAGCGAGGTGGGGGTCAGCCTCTTCTCCCTGGTAACGGGGGATAGGAAGAGGGGGAATGGTTGGAAGTTGCGCCAGGGCAGGTTTAGGCTAGACATTAGGAAAAACTTCTTCACCAAAAGGGTTGTCAGGCACTGGAAAGGGCTGCCCAGGGAAGTGGTCAAGTCCCCACCCCTGGAGGTATGTAAGAGAAGGATAGATGAGGTGCTTAGGGACATGGTTTAGTGGTGGGATGGCAGGGTTAGGTTAAAGGTTGGACTCGATGATCTTAAAGGTCTTTTCCAACCAAAGTGATTCTGATTCTATGATCTAGGTCTGGGTTTAGATTTAGATTTAGAGCAAGGTCTCGGTTTGGATTTGGGTCTGGGTTTGGGCCTATTTTTGCATCTAGGACTAATTTTGGGTCTGGTTTTGGACTGGGGTCTGGCCCTGGCTCTGGGACTAGGTTTGAATCTGGGTCTAGGTTTAGATTTAGAGCTGGGTCTGGATCTGGTTTGGGTGGGGTGAGTGGCTCCCACCCACTCGACGGGTGGCATAGCCCCTTTAAGACAAGCCCGTCGCGCACCCC